TCCCCCCACCCCCTTAATGCCAATTTGAGGATTTCCTAAACTTGAATGAGAATTGACAGGTGAGTGACTCTGGCCTAGAAAATGTCCTCCTAGCAAAACGCACTGACCAGGGAACCTAATTCTGCCTTTAGCTAGGCTTCTGTTTTTACTCCTTTTTGCCTCAAAGGATTTTTCCCCAAGCTGATAAAGTAAGTTTCAGACTTAAAAGTTAGACGAGGATGACAGGTGATAGCATGCATGATGGGCATGCTGTGTGTTGGCAGTTGTCCTGGGTGGTCAGTTCTATTTCCTAATACGTGAACGCTTTAGTTAGATGTTTTAAATTATTGAGATGCCTCAGTTTCCTGTATTTTTATCACCATTACTCTCTCTGGCTTCTTGTTTCTTGTTCTTCATAGCCTGTTGTGTGGCCAGCACCACATGAAGCCCACGTCACAAGGAGTGGGGGTCGGGGGTGGGGGTTCCTCCTTCAGAGGAACTTAGCTGGGGGGACAAAGCCACCTGAGTGAAGAGCAGTTGAGTGCTGAGCTCTATAGCTCCTCAAGTAAATGGGGGCGAAAAGAGGGAATAGATTGCTGGTGGTTAGAGAGGTGATTCCCAGACCAGTCAAAACGTGTGTAAAGGTGGCTGTCAACAGAAAATCACCAGCTTTTAATTTTGCCATGTCACTGTTGCAACGATCGCCTTTTTTTGTTACCTCATTTTATTAAAGAGAGACTATTTTAACATGAAAAAAAAGAGAAAAGACCTAACACCAGAACAAAGGACGGATGTTGAAAATAATTTAGTTCAGTTTTATGAAAACCCCACAATAATATCCTTACCTTTTATATTTAGACACTACTGAAAATATTTTCCCAGAGTGACGTCTGGTCTTAATGTGGCTTCACTGAGAAAGTGGGCCTCGCCTGGATCAGGCGCAGGGGAGGGCGAGGGCCCGGCAGGCGCACCGAGCAGCGGGGAGAATCCCTAGGGGTGGTGACGGCGGGGCCCCACAGAGGGGCAGGGCCCGGGACTGTGCTTTGAAGGAGAGTGGGAACTAGAAGTGCTACTAGGGAGTGAGGCACTGAAACACCCGGGGGGGATTTAGATTTGCAGTGGAATACAGTACAGGGCCATCGGAGATTTTTGAGCCTCAGGACATGAAAATGGCATTTGAAAAGATTGATCTGGGGGCTCAAATGTGGGATGAACTGGGGAGGCCCAAGTTAGGGAGGGGCTGTTGCTGTTTGGTGAAGCTGTGAGTAGGTGAAGGCAGGCCTGGGGCGCGAGTGCACAAGTCAGGGACACATGCAAGAGACGTTTAGAAGAAAGGAAAGATAGGACTTGGAGACACATGGAAATATAAGAGGAAGGAGGAATGAGATCTATAGCCAAAGTTTCTAGCCTTGGAGAAGAGGAAAGTAGTGGAAATAGTGACACAAATTAGAAAATTTCTTAACTGATATAATAAAGCACTAGATAAAGGACTCCTGGGAGTGGGTGAAACCGCAAATGGTATTTGGGGGACCCCTTGCTTTTGTCAGAGACCTGATAAAGAGGCTTGTCTTGTTAATCGAATGCACGTCGTATTAGCAGAACCTGAACACTTCCTCTCCATGTATTTTCAGAAGCTAAGTGAACATCATGTACTTTGTTCTTTATTTATCCCCTAAATTAGGCAACTGTGGTATGTGAGTAGGAAGTTACGGGATTTTGACATGATTTGTCCAAAGTAGAGGGCACTTCAGAGGTGGAGTCGAAGGAACCATGTGGCAGTCTACACTGAAAAAATAGGTTTCTTATTCTGTAAGAGTAAATGTCTCTTTTGTTCTTGGTGTATCCCCAGAACATCACTCATAATTGGTGTATAGCATGCTTGTTTGAAAATGCGTGGTAGATCGAGACTGGGGTTTTTTGCTGTCTAATAAGTTACCTTTTATCATTGTATCTCATAGAGCAGTCAAAGAGAATTCTATCTCAAGATCACAACCTTTTTCTTCTAGGAGAAATCATATGTCATTAAAGTAGAGTCAGGATGGCCCTAAATGATCTTTGTACAAAAAATTGAGACTGACTTCCCTTGGTGCTAACTCTGTTGAGACCTTCTCCACCTTATGATGTAACCAAATGAGCCTTAAATTAAAACATTGCTAGTCTTGTATGTATGAGCAAAGATGAATCTTTTTGAGTTATTACCAGAGTTCCTCCAGGCCGAAGGAATCCAGCGTCAGCACCTCGAAAAACGAGGGCCCAGAGCTGGTGGGAAGTGTTTGAGGTGAGGGCGGTTGGTGTGAGAGCTTGACAGGTCTGGAGTTTTGCAGTGGAATCACTGC